TTTTCATAATTTTATTACTTTATTCTCATGATATTCTTCTTTATTTTCGAAATAAATAAAAAAATCTCTAGCCAGGCTCTAACACTCTGTCATAGTTTAGGAACACGGCGGGTCTGTGAAGCTACATTCAGAGTGACGAGAAGGAAAAAGTAGCGACCTGTTCTGCAGCAGAAGGCGTTTATAGATGTCTATGGCCTCCTGGTAGTGCGAGCGCATGTAGTGGATGGAGGCCAGGCTCAGCTGGTCCTCTGTCACGTCCTCCAGGTTCTGGTGGAAGCGCATCAGTCTTTTTTCGTCGTTAAACTGAGACACAGTGTAAACATAGATCATGAGACAAAATGCTGATTTATTAAGCAGAATATATGGAGAGAAAACTGCATCATAAAACCAAAGAGGAACAAGTAAGGAAAGTACAGCTTGGTGCCATGAAGGTGAGAGAATCGTCAAACCTTGTGGGCCAGATGAAACAGCAGCCGGTTTTGGAGTGGAGACATCGGCGCTACAGGGAACAAAGGGGGGACATTTTTAGTGATAGGGGTGTTTATGGGAATCACATCACCCCCTTGTATCAAATAGTCACATTACTGACAGAGAAGCAGCTTTAAAACGGATCCTAAACGTATTAGAAAGTCACTGATGGCCTTTTTACCGTCTGGTTATTTCATTTCAGAAAAAAAGCTCTAGTTTGCATAGAAATATGGCTGCAATTAACAATTGTTTGCATATCGATTAATCTGTCGATCATTTTTTGGGATTAAGTAATTAATAATCAGATAGCAAAGGAGACTTTTTGCGAAATTAAACCATGCAAACATTAAACTTTTCCATTTGAGGAGTTCTAGATAGAGCAGATTGACAGACAAAAAAGATTTTTATCTCAAATGTAAAATGTTTACATACATATATATATATTTTTTTTTACAATTTTCATATAATTCCTGCTCTTAGCGGGTTGCTCTGTCAGCTAAAGGCATGTTTTAGAGTCTCTATACTCCAGTTAACGATTGAGAACTAAATTAGTTGATGATTATTTCAATGAACTGTTAATCAGTCTTAATTCATTAACTGTTTCAGGCCTACATTGAAACAATCAAGGGTGGAGAATAAAACCACATTTATTCAGACTAGTTATTTTAAACAGGTGCAAACAAAAGGAACAGTTTGTTGACATCTAGTGGTCAAGCTGGAGATAGCAGCATCCTGAGAGCGCTGTCTTAAAGGGGTCATAGAAAGC